TTCCTGAGACAGTGTATCTCTCCCCCCCTCCCCCATGGAATCTATTGTCATTTTGGCGTATATACATACACATTGAGCTTTTTAAACAGAGAAATTCAACACCTCGTTTGACGTCAATTTTTATTATGAATTAATACAATGACATTGTGATTCAATTTCATGGATGCAAAGCATTAATTGTGATATCACATAATGTCTAAATCATTATCTCGTGCTTTGAGTCCCCATCCTCTCCCACATCTGACGATAAAGGATAAAGCACATGGCGAGAAACATTTCTTATAAAAAGTGTTGATTTACAAAAACATTTATGTAGCTGAGCAGGGGGGGGGGGGAACTTTGTCAAGCTTGGGACTTTGGGGGTGGGGACAAATAATATGAATGGAGAACAGGGTTAGATACAAATATGAGGACTAAATCAAGTTTTGTAATTCAAGGTTTTGCACAAAGGATCATCTGCCCAAATCTTTAGAGTTTTCCTGGGGTTTCCTGCATCGTAAAGAGACCTATGCATGAGCTTGATGATGAGATAAGAATTTATTATATGTTTATTCCCAGATATTAGATGTGTTGAAAAGAAAGTTAAACTACATTACTTTCAGTCTTTTGTGAATTTATTTGTATGAGTGATGTGTTTTCCACACCAGATTGATAAAATAATAAAGATATTGTTTAACACCCAATAGCACACTATCATCTATTCAGCTCACATTTCTGTCTGACACTTAATGGTGTTGAAACATCAAGATAGCTCATGTCTTTAACAAAATCTTAAAAGAAAAATGGAATTAAAGGGACATTTTCTAGATTATTATTTTTGGTGCTCTTTAGAAAATGAACTTTTGAAATACTGTTATAAATATCGCTAAAGATTTCAAAACTGAATTGTCTCTTTAAGGATGGTCAAGTGGTCTAACGTGTGCACATTTGATCATAAGGTCTATCATGGAGGCAGGTGGCTTGGTTTCAATCCCAACCCTTGTACATGGTACATGACAAGGAGTGAGGTTGCAGCCCAACCTCATAGGTTTTTGCCAGGTTCTTATTTTTTGCTAGTGCTACGCGGAAGCAAAGTATTGAAACAAATGGTACCATATGTCGACTCCATTTCTCTCTCTCAGGGGTCAGTTTTACACTTTCATTAAAATTTGATCACAACAAAAGATCTATATATAGTTTTTGGTTGAATAATTGATGCATAATCTGATTGGTATATGGTTTAATGCTAGTTCAAATCCATGTAAATTTCGCACATGGCAGGCAAATATTCTCTTTATGTCACATCTCAGGAAACAAAATGGCTTACACCATCAGCTTGATCCCTAAAACTAATTGGTTTCTTTTTCATTGACTTTTTGTTCAATATATATTTATATTTTTCTGCATCAAATCTGGAGATAAAATGTCCACAGTACAGATACATAAGTTAAATTAGATTACTTGACAATTTATTGCTAAAAAAATACAAAATTAATTTGATGCCACACAACTGCGAGCAAGCAGAAACCATTTATCATGCTTATCGGTGTTATCAGGACAAAGATATAATTGAGTTATTTCCCTTGTCATAGAAAGATTAAAATAAAACAAAATTTGTGGATTTTGGGTACTGATAAAGCCATTTATTTATATTTAGAAGTATGTTAATATCCAAAAGATTGCTTTGTTCTTTAACATTGAGAGGATATCTTTTAAATGGAATTCAGAATTAATGTTAACTATGAAAAAGAATGGGTTTAATGTATGGTCATTTTATGAGTAGGGTGTCAATAATGACATTAAAATGAAAAATGCTCAACATCCCTGATCTGAAAAAAAAGTTTTGAATGCTCTTTGAAAAGGCATAAATATCTTAAAAATCAAACCTATTCAATAATTTATAAAAGCATATATAATGGTACTCTTTATGATAGATGTATATTGGTCACATCCAAGAATGATACAGAAACCTAATCAGATTATTCAACCATTATAGTCCTTTGATTTCTTAAATATAATTTTATATGCCCTCTGTGGACATATATTGTCACCCCCCTCCTCCATCCATCCTAGCGCTCAAGTTATCATCCGATTAGTTTGAGATTTATACGCAGTGTTTATGTTCAATTGCAATCAGTTAAGCAACTAATGTGATCATCTGATTACCAGTCCACGTTTTGTATAATACAATGTTAAAATAGAACCAGAAGACAATCCGATTTCATAGGCTGTTAAACTTGATCAGTTTTAAGTGGTGTGAATGCTCAAATTACCTACAAAAGAAAATATATGTGCCAGCATCCTATCATTTCAAATCAGAGTATAACTTTCAAGGAAAATAAAAACAAAAATTCTGTTGTGTCAACTCTTTGATCAAAATGTTTAATTGCATATGGGAGCTTAGTTTTCTTATACAAACAACCAGTAGAAAGTTCCTTATAGTTCTCACATATCATTTCTTGGAGATCTTATTTTGTTTGCTATCAAAACTTTATATTATTGCGATTTGTTTTCAAAACAAAATAAACTGCACATTAACTGTGTTACTGGGCTAGGTCTCAACCTCTAATATCATAAATAAAAACATAGAAACTAATTTAAAAAATCTGGTTTGTCTGGCACACATGATAGCAAAAATCTTATCTTATTTTATTAGAATTAGGGGGTAACCTTATCAGTTAGGTATGTTAAATCTATTACATTAAACCTGTTTTTTTGCTTGCCAGATGATGCATGCTGTATGTATAAATATTTATAAAAAATGATAAGCTCCTTTAAAAACTGTCAGATTTTTTATTTGTGACTGAAAAGTTAAAGTGCTCTTCATTAAGGTTATCGGTTAGAATTATTTTATTTACTGTTTGTGCCAAAAATCAAAATTTTGAATGAAACTAGGAATATTCAAAAGTTATTTTGGTGAGCACTTTAATTATTAGCCTCCTCATAGATTTTTATATGTAACCTGAACCTTGGCTTAAAAATACTTTTTATAGTGTTAATTGTCTTTTCACTGGACATGGAAGGATTGTTTTACATTTCTAAAAGCCATATTGTAGAATTTTTTAAATAATACTCAAAAATACATTTTGTGTCTATTTATAAATGATATATCATTGTCCTGATGTGGAAAACATATTTTGACACCAAAAAATGATTTTGGTTGCTTAAAAATAAATGTTTATCTATGATAAATAAGGTCATGTTTTAACAGTTGTAAATATTTAGATAAAAGGTTTTACTGTAAAGATTTTGTGCCAATTGTTTACAGACTGTCAAAAAATGTTCTCTGCTATAAAAAGGTTGTGTCTGGAAGGGTCATGCAAATGTATTGTAATTGTGGGCTTTTACTTCATGAATTCAGATTGCAAAAACCAGGGTAGATTTCATGCAGCATCACAATGAATGAGGGTGGAAACAAGTACATACAAATATATATCAAGCACAATAGCACAATCCATCGCAAAATATAAACTTCAAATTCAGAAAAACTGAGTAACCACAACAAGATTCACCACAAATGAAATAGAAGACACAATTCAGAATAGCAATACATCAACACAAACTACCAGTTTTAGTTACCAAATGTTAAGTTACCACCTGTCAGCCTTTACTAACATGTTTAAATGGTAAATAAAATACTTAACATGGCCACCAGCAGACTTATATTTTAATTAAATGAAAATTGACAAAAATGTACCACACTTGTTAAGTTAATCACAAAACTACTTAAACTAAAACCGTGGAGCAACTTGAAACTTTGGGGTTTTTTTTTCGCTATTTTGGCACAATGATAAATGAACATGGTCTTAAAGGCTCAATACCACTCTTGTTGTAACTAAATAATATGTCCCAATATTCCAATTAATTGATGATACAAGCCAGCAAGAGTAATTGTCCCTTTAAAAAGTTGTGAATTTGAGTGAAAGCCCTCTGCTTCTTACTTTAAGTTTTATCAAATGATAGACAGTTTATTTAAATTGCACTTGATCTTTAAATTTATGTGTACCAATTTATTCCCTTAACAATACCTTCTTTTGCACGTCTTTAAAACATCACCACACTGGACCGAACATCATTTTTTGTGTCAAATTAAAGTTTTATTGGTTTACAAATGCTTTAACAACCAATCAATTATCACATAATAAATAAAGCAAGATTTACCAAAGTGATAAAGATTTTTTACAGAAAAAACATTGGCTGTTAGACTTAAACACAATGTAAATATGATCCCAGCATGTATTCGGGATATGTTTTACAATTGATGGTTACACTATGTATTTAGGCATGTGATTAAAGATCTAGATCAATTGTAAAACATATCCCAAATACAGGGAAGATTGTATTGTTTACCATAAATATTATCTTTGACTGGACATTTTATGCTTAGTTTAAGTATGGATAATCAGTTTGATTGCCCTATACTTTTGACAAAGATAAATGTGCAATTAATTAATATGTGTCATCTATTTATTTTGGGATTTCGGCGGGGGACATCGGCCTCACTGTTGGCTTGTTTAAATTATTATGTGCTTGATAGGAGTCTATAAATTGACTTTTCCTGCTCATTAAGAATTAAAGAGTGAAACAATGACCTAATATGAGGGAATATATCCTTTAAGCTGAATGGTGCAAAAATTTGCATAATTCTATTGTAGATATTTGTATGAAATTGCTTTTTTTCTTTTGTTCCTGGTTCAATATATAATTGAATAATTTTATATTCTCTATGCCATAAATAGACAATGCAGACAAACAGACCTTCACACAATATATCAATGCATGAATAAAACTCAATCCAATAATGTGAAACTGAATTTGGCTATAAGCTATGTGAACCCACAACAAGACAAAATCCATCTTAAAGATGGGCCTATTATTATTATTAGGTGTTCTGGTAAAAGTATACCATGTTGTGTACATGATACCTGTTATAATCTTGACACATTTAGTCAATTCATAAAAATTGTATCTATGGTATAGTAGTATGTTTAGGGTTAATTTCGTTTTGTATATATTTTTAGGGAATGGTAGTAAATGGATTTGTAAATGTAGTGATATCCAACATCGAAAGACGTTTTTCTATTAGTTCTACAGAATCCGGAACTATTGCATCATGTTACGATATAGCATCGGTGTTATTACTGATCCCAATTACATATTTTGGAGGACAAGGAATCAAGCCAAGGTATTTAGGAATAGGAGTTTTAGTACTGGGCATTGGCTCCTTTGTTTTTTCTTTACCACACTTTACCACAGACCCGTACCATGTGGACGGGACAACAGAAAATGTGTGCAGAGTACTGGATAATGTTACTAACAGTTGTGAAACTGGTGAATCATTTTCCAGTCTTTCCAATTATAAATATGTGTTCTTTCTCGGTCAGTTATTGCACGGAGCTGGTGCTGCACCGTTATATACTCTTGGAGTTACCTACCTGGATGAAAATTTACCTCAAAGATCTTCGTCTTTTTATGTTGGTAAGTGAATGAGATTTGATTTATTTTAAGAAATAAAAGGAGATAGAAGTCCACTCAAAAAACTTGGTCATTGCAGGACTAAGAAATGAGTGGTATGATTTGCCAAAATGTAAAGAAATGACTTACCTTTTCAAAAATTGTTAGCACAAAAAATGTAGCTTTTCGGAAACAGTAGTGAGCTGATCATTGTTTATGGTATTGTCTGATACATGCATAAATATTCCTAAACACATTCCTAAATTCATTTCTAAATTCAACACCTCGACTAGGCTTGCTCTTACAAACATGATTCCAACATCACAGTGAAATTGGACCATGAAAACCAGGACTCTCATTATGATATTCTGACTAGGAAAGTGAAAGAAATCAAAATGAACAACATGATTTGTACAAGCAAAACTGTGATTTGTAATTCTTGCTGTACAGATTATAGGATAATATGTTTCTAAGAAAAAGTTAATTAAAATTAATGTGTTGTAAATTGCTGTGTTTTATTATCTTGTTTTTTCTTTCAGGCATATTTTATTCATTTGCTATCTTGGGACCAGCTTTAGGCTATTTAGTTGGTGGACAATTTCTTAACATATACACAGATATTGGCAGCACCGATTTGAATACGTAAGCATCAGTTTTAGATAAAAAGTACATTTGAGACAGTTCCTGATTTTAGCCCAGCTTGTGAAGGTTAAAGAGCCAAATCTTTTTCTTAACCCTTAAAGAAAATGAGCCATATATGTCTAAATTTTTATATGCCCACATTTTCATGTGGACGTATATTGTCGTTGCCCCTGGATGTCTGTCCATCCGTCTATCTGTCTGTCCTTCAACAATTTGCAGGTCACAATTTTCATCCAATTTTGATGAAACTTGAAATATAGGTTTATATCCCAAAGATCTTGAATCCTTTCAGTATTGGCATGTATTGGACCGTAACTAAATGGATTATGGTACCTGATTGTTAAAAAAATCACATTTTAAGCTTGTGGACCCGCTAGAAGTCACAATTTGTATTCAATTTTAAAAAAATGTTTAAATATATCTCCGTTACACATCAATGAAGGTTGAGTTCAAATTTCATAAAAATCTGACCAAAACTGCCGGAAAAAATGATCGCACCGTGAATGCAAAGGTTGTCACGATTTTTATCCGATTTTGATAAAACTTAAAAGGTTTGATTATAATCCAACAATCTTGGTTCATTTCCATATTTGTGCATATTGGACGAAATGACCACTCCTTGTACGCAAAGGTTGTGGACACTCTAGAAGTCACAATTTTTTTCCAATTTTGTGCATATTGGACTGTAATTTCCTGGATTATGTTTTTAGCTTGTGGGCCTTCTAGAGATCACAATTTTTTATCCAATTTAAAAAACATTTAAATGTAAAACCGTTACACCCTAATGATAGTTGAGTTCAAAATTGCCTGACAAAATGGCCGTTCCTGGTATGCAAATAGTGTAAAAGTATGTAATACCAAGGTTTGTGGACCCTATAGATGTCACAAATTTTATCTGATTTTGTTGAAACTTAAAATATATCTTTATATCCCAAATATCTCAGTCCATTTCGACATTTTAGACCTGGATTATGGCTCCTGGTTGTACAATGTCAAAGATTGTGGATGATATTGAGTTGAAGACTTAGAACTAAAAATAATTTGTGTATTGGAATTTTGATGAAACGGAAATGTTTGTTCCGCATGGGAAGGGACAAATACTATTTGTAGAACCAGACATTTGATGTAAGTGAAGCCATTTGTTTCCAGGACACCTGTTTCACACAAAATCTTATTTTCTATCCAGATGAAACTTCCATATAATAATCTATCTGCATACAAAATTTATGAAAATATGCATTTAAACAGCATTTAATATGGTCTACCACCTGTAGCACTTTCTTTTCAACATAAAAATAAATTGTTTATTGGAATTTTCGATTAAACGTAAGCTTTCTTAAAGCTTGTAGCTATAAAATACTAGACTAATATACCATTTGTTAATTGTAACATGTTTAACACCATATCTTTCTATGCGAATTAACAATAAATTGTTCATTGGATAAAACAGAAACATTTTATTTTTTTTATACTGTAAAAAATATACCAATTGTATATGATATGATAAGGTCTACCCATGTAATATAGAAATTTGCAACATGTTTTAACACCATATCTTTCTACACGGCGTAACAATAAATTATTCATTGTATAAAAAGAAACATTTTTTTACGAATTATCATTTTATACAGCATATTTTTATTGATAATTAAAGTAATCAAGTAATGCGGGAAATTGCAACATGTTATAACGTCCTATCTTTCCCCTCCCTTTTCACGGATGGACTGAAAAGGAGTTTGGTAGTTTCAGGCGTCCCTCAACTGGTTAATGTACTTGCCTAGTGATAATTTACGTTGTTTTTGATGAATTGTTAAGATATATACATAAGCTAAAAACACCAGGATATACTCTGGAAAGCACCATTTACAATCAGTTTATTCAAAAAAAATTTGAGTCTGGCTGGAGAGAACCCTGTCATTCCCCAAATGGAGCAAAGATCAGCCTGTCGCTGGTATCATATATGTATTGTCTACCGTAGTTTCCATGTATTACTGTGGCAATTAGGTCTAGATATTTAGTATGTTAACTTATTTGAGGGGTATGGTCTACAGGTAGGTCTACATGTTCAGTAGGGTAATTTATCTGAGGGATATTGCCTGCAGATACGTCAGGATACTTAGTGGGGTAACTAACAATAAGGGTATTGGCAACAACATGAGAAATTTCGACTGATTCCCCAAGATTTTTTTGCTTTAAAATTTAAAAAAAAAATCATGTGAAAATGTGTAAAATTTCGACTGAGAAATATATTGTGTCCCAGTATTATTGCAGTAGCTTTTGAATTTTCTATATACTGTAGACAGGTAATGTCTTATTTTGTAACTAGAAATAGATAATCTCTACCTTAACAAGCAGTTGTCATGCAAGATACGCCCAAATTTTGCAAGAGATTGACAGAAAACAAACTATAAAAAGCGATATTTCATACAATCAGGGACTATAATCCACAAAGTTAGGGTCTGATACTCGCAAGTATTGAAAGGAACCCAAATCTATGGGATATAAACATAGAATTTAAGTATGGCATACTTTACAATATTTGCATAAGAGAAGTGGCCTTTGTTGGGCAGTTTCGGTCCAATTTTCTTGAATTCTGACTCAATAGTCAATATGGTGTAACGGTAATATATTTAAATCGGATAAAAATTGTGACCAAAAGAGGGTTCCACAAGCTTGAAATTTGATTTTTTTGGGGGCCATAATCCAAGAAGTTAAGGTCTGTTATGCATGAATATTAAACATTTCAAGTTTTGTAAAAATTAGATAAAAAATTGTGGCCTATGTGTCCATAAACCAAATTTAAATGGGAACACGGACAGACCGGGGCGATGACAATATACGTCCAGATGAAAATGTGGACGTATAAAAACATGCATGACCGATAAAACATAAACTTGTTCTCCTTTTTTTAGGCCTCCTTCATATATTGCGATATTTGTTTTCAGGGATATCGCTCACCTCTACTTTACTCGCTGTATTGAAAAAATTGTGGCCTGTGTGTCCATAAACCAAATTTGAACGGGAACACGGACGGACAGGGGCGATGACAATATACGTCCATATGATCTACTCTCTATAGATTATGCCTACCATGAAACATCATATGATATTACAATAATTATTATGTGAATTTGTGTTTAACGTCGTCATCAATAACACGTTGCCGAGATGCAAGATTTATTGCAGAACTCTGATTTTTTGACATGATGTATTTTATGTTGATAAATCGATAAATGCCGATTTACGAGGTTTTGGAATGAAATTGAGGATAGATAAGATCAACCTATCTGAACATTTTATTTTGGCCAAATTTCAAAAGGTTCCTTACTATTTCAAATTGTAGTGGTACTCTACTGTGGTCATGAAACTGTAAAGTACTGTTCACTTCTTGTGTTCAATAAAATCTTTATATATCAGTACTTTGTATATTTTACAGGTTAACCATCGATTCTGATAATCCAAGATGGGTTGGAGCATGGTGGATAGGTTTTCTTATTAGTGGTACTATGGCTCTATGTACAGCTATACCACTGTCAGGTTTTCCAAGATCACTACCAGGTAAATGCTTTTGTAATAGTATAAAGTGAGGCCAATCAATTTAACATAATTATATATGACATGGGAAACATAATGTTCAAATTCGAACTAATTATCATACACATGTCTGACTTCAAAGACATAGTTTCCAAGCACCATTTTTCTTGATTAATCACCAGTGGTGATGTTAATTTTAAAAACTTTTAATTATGAGATGGAGATATCAGTGCATGTCTGGAAATATATTCAAGCACAAATGATTCTAGCTACAAATTGTACAAATACAAAGTTCAGCTGTGTACTCTGGCTCTTCACAGGAATCAAATCTAATAATGGAGAATGGTAACAAGTGTTCATAGAAGGGTAAGTGTACCCTGCCTTGTGCATAACAGCCACTGCGTACCCTGTATTTATCTTAAAGAAAAGTTCTTTGTTCTATCAGATCAGGTTTATCTCAGATATAGATTGGACATGTTTTCAGAAGATCTGGTCAATTGGAGTGCTTTTTGACATTAGAGTTACTTTCCCAATTTCAGGTTCTAGTATATATCGAGCAGAAAGAGGTAAAGAGGCCTATCATAAGGAAGGAGCAGATGATAGTGAGAAAGTTGGATTAAAGCGAGGCTTTAGAGATATACTACTTTCAATTAAACTTCTTGTATCAAATCCAACTTTCATGTTTTTAAATTTTGCGGCAGCTAGTGAAGGTTGGTTTACTTTTTAATTTTGTGACCCGCCCTGGTGGTTTTATCAGGGCTGACTGACAACATGCATCAGACTTAAGGCCACAAATTGCCATCTGCATTTTTCAGGCAATAACTTTTTTTTCACAGCTTAATTCATGCTGAAATGTATTAATTGAATTATTTAACATTATTTAAGAAAACAAATCCAAAATATCAACCATAGGTAATATTCTGGCATGAATTCTATGGGATTTAAAAAAAAACTCATCAAAAGATATTGAGCAACACTAACAGGTATCGTCTGCATAGATGTTTCAATTTATCATATCTTTGTAAATACTGAGAAAAATTGAATCAATTTTTGATTAACTTAAGAGGTTTACCTTTTCCAGTATTATAATTTGCAAGTAATTTAAATTATCTCAAATGATGATCAGCAGCGTTAAAGTAGCTAAGTCTCTAACTCATTATCATCCAAAATCTTCGACATTGAAAACACAAATTATTTGACAGTTTAAATCAACATTGATGTTATGATCTTACCAGGAAAAGATGGGCTTCTGATATCCAATATTTAAGACAAAATCAACATTGTACCATTGGTACACGAATCGTGTACCTTAATGCCTTTCAGCGCCATTTCGAACAAGGGACTCGAAGAACGAGGCTAGACATGTACATATTCCACAAGACATGTCAAATGATGATGTCATATTCTTATCTGGAGAGCATGCGCAATAAATACTATCGGTGTATACTGGAGTAACCAGACGCTAGAGGTTGCCATTTGGTTGAGACTTCTAGCGTATTTTGCCGAACATAACCGATTCGAAAATAAAGTGAAAACGGAAACGATTGAATGTAAATCAGTTTATATACATTCATATTATATTATTATATGCGTTGCGACCCATTTGTATCCATTTCTAGGTCCCAAATATTAGCGATTTAGCTCCTTGAACAGAAATCTGCTTTGTTATCTCAAACACTAAAATTGGCAATTTGTGCGTTTTCTCTAACGTAAAATATATATATATATATATATATATATATATATATATATATATATATATATATATATATATCCTTTGTTTTTTTTTATTACAGGTATTTTATTAAGTGGGTTTTCAACATTTGCACCAAAATTTATTGAAGCTCAATTTTCATTTTCATCTGGCTGGTCTGCTCAACTAATGGGTAAGATTTGATGCATTTCTTTTGGAAAATTGTGTACAAAGATCCAGACTTCAGACATTTCATCTTGTACTGTTTGTTTAAATTCTCCACCCCCCCCCCCCCCCACCAACAAAAGTAACATATTTCAGTGGACATTTTTGGTGACTGAAGCCTCCATGCTCAGCTATGACTATTAACCTATTAATAATGCTTTAAGTACGATTCATGTTATCCTAAAATTATAATATGAAATTATGCTTTAAGTACAATTCATTTTATTCTAAAATTATAATATACTCTTCCAAAAAAAAGTAGGGGATATTGAATGCAAATACCTATGCAGGTATGGGCATTTGACATGCCTTGAGAGTATGTTCACAGATGAAGAACTTATCGCCCCAACAGAACCACTGAGCTGCACATGCGACATGCAAGGGTTTCATTGCAGGACGGAGGGGCTGACAAGGAAAGCTGTCTAGTCGTTCGGATGGGACGAAAAACCGAGGTCCCGTGTACACATTGGCGTGCACGTAAAAGATCCCTTGGCAGTTGGAATTCGATATAAGAGTAGGCCGTAGTGCCACTGTCCGGGCAAAATTTCCCTCATAGCACACTGTATGGCATATGCCCGTCTTCATTAGCCCAGGTTAGGAGCAGAAAAGTAGGACGTTAAACTCCATTTCATTTCATTTCATTTCAAGGGGTTCATTGTCAAATTTGACACTTCAAGGAAGAGTTGATGAAAACTGCCGCATGCTGGGTTATCTATCCATGTTTGCTTTCCTATCGGTTCTTGCATAAGATTTACTGTCTAGCGTATCTTTGCTTTAGTGTGTTACGTTTAATTTGATCGGGAGGAGTGTTCGCCAACGTTAACGTCAACTGACAACACTGCAAGAATTGGTCGTGGCACTGCAAGAGGAGTGGGTCAGATTGCCCCAAATCGTGATTGGACGGTTGATTAGGAGCATGCCACGACGAATTTCTGAATGTCTGAGGATTGGTGGAGCAATTACTCATTATTAAGACAAAAATCAAAAACGTTCATTTTCACTTTTGGCGGTGTATCTCTTTGCCGCCCATATGAACTGTTTATGTTCATGTATAGGCAATTGGCCTGTTATTAACATACACTGGTTACCTCTAATAAAAACAGCAGTGCATTTCCGCAGTTTTGTATTGTTTCTGAATATCCCCTACCTTTTTTTTGAAGAGTATATGATATAATGCTTTAAGTATGATTCATGTTATCCTAAAATTATAATATAATATAATGCTTTAAGTACAATTCATGTTATCCTAAAATTATAATATGAAATTATAATTCTAAATTCTGTTTGCAGGTCTTGCTCTCATACCAGCTGGTGGTGGTGGAACATTGTTAGGTGGTTTCCTTGTAAAAAAGTTTAATTGGAGAGTCTCAACTATCATCAAATTTTGTCTGTTATCTACCTGTATTAGTATACCGTTTGGATTTGTATTTTTTATGTATTGTGACAATATACCATTTGCTGGTATCAACATAAAGTATGATAAAGATGTCAGTAGGTCAGTATATTTTTATGAATTCAATATATTTCAATCCAGGCAACTCGCACACATTGATACAAAAAAGTGTCAACTGTTCAGTCTGATTGCTAAGTACTTTTGAAAAAGAGAAACGTGCAATTAATCGAATATGTCATCTATTTATTTTGGGATTTCCCCGTAGTAGGACATCAGCCTCACTGTTGGCTTGTCAAATAAAATTCTTCCCCCCTTTTGCAGTCAAGCAAAACCACATTAATTCATGACACGGTCTGGCAGGCAAATGACATGCTCACTGCACCTGTAGGCTAGTAGACATCAACTCCTGTCAGTTATATTGGGGAGATAACTCCTCTATAATCGGTTTCTTATAGCTTGGTAATTTGTCAAATGTATTTCACCCTTATTATTCTTTATAAACACTTGAAATTAATTTTCATTGACTATTTATGAAAACTAGGGTCAATTAAAAGGAAAAATAAGTAAACTAACTTACAGTATATTACAAATTGGGTTGGTTTTAAATCATAATTTATGGATCTATTGGCATACATTAGGGTGGGCTTATGTTTTATTGTCAGGCAATTTATTTATAATGTATTTATTCAACTAAATGTCAATCCAGCTATTTGCCAAGCTATGCAAATGCCTAGATTAAAGAATGATAAGTTTGAAATATGTCTTTAATTGAACTTATTTCTCTGTTGTTTGTTTCAGTGCAAATCTAGAATTTTTAGGTGACGATCAACTAAACAATACGTGTAATGCCCTTTGTAAATGTACCCAAGATGAATATACACCAATATGTGGACGAGATGGTAAAATGTATTTTTCCCCATGTTACGCAGGATGTTCTACCCGTGTCAATAATTCAGAACCAAAGGTGAGAGATAATTATAAATCAGAACATATAAACCCCAGGTCTGTCGGAAGGAATTTCATATTTCCAGGATGTGGGGGCCCGTCAGATTAGTGATCAAGAAATGGGTACAAAAAAATTTAATCTAAGTAACAAATATTTGCAAATTATTGGGTGGGGATGGGGGTTACAGTTCTCACAAACTTTGTTTTGGACTACCGGTATGTCAGACTGATTTTTTGAAAAACTTGCATTTATGTTTGTCCAGCTTAATACCTCATTGGAAAGATCCTACGAGTATCAAATGGACAGCTGTCTAGTTGTTCGGATGGAACAGAAAACTGAGGTCCTGTGTACGAATTGGTGTGCACGTAAAAGATCCCTGGGAAGTTGGAATTCAATATAAGAGTAGGCCGTAGCGCCGCTGTTTGGGGCAAATTTTCTCTCATAGAAAACTGTATGGTGTATGCCTGTCTTCATTTGCCCAGTCGGAGCAGAACAGTAGGACGTTAAATCCCATTTCATTTCATTTCCTATGAGTATCTACACAATGATTATTTGCTTTTTTTTAAAAAAAAAAACTGTCAGCGTTTTAAAAATTGTTTCAGTATATCTAGTATGCTGATTGTTTTGCGAAGTAGGTATCTTTCTACACTGAAAATTTAGGTAATGGGAAAAAGCCAATATTCATATTTTACAGATTTGGGTTTCAACTATTTGCAGTTTTAAGCCAAAAACTCCAAAATAAAATTTATTTGTTTTGTTCAGTATTAGTTTGTTTTAATCCGGTTTCCTCCCACTGCTAAAGACCCCTACACGCAAGCAAATTATGGAAATAAAATTGAACCATGTGTTAGTCCCAAAATGACCTAGTTTGTGTAAGTGGACATTAAACCCCATCTCTCTCTCTCTCTCTCTCTCTCTCTCTCTCTCTCTCTCTCTCTCTAGTTTGTTTGAAGGAAAAATCGGGCCATGTTCAGCCAATATGATACAAAGCAAATACTTGAACTACATGCATCAGTTTCAACTCTCTTTACAGCAATATACCAATTGTGACTGTGTGAATTTTACTGTCACCAATGAAACAAGTTATATGACAGAGCTAGGAAAATGTGAAAGTTCGTGTCCATGGCTACCTTTGTTTATGCCAATGTTTACCATGGTTATATTTCTAACATTTATAACTAGTATGCCTGCTTTATCAGCAACATTAAGGTAAACTATTTTTTCTTTTAAATGGATGTTGGATGGAGTCTACTAAATCGAGAAATGGAATTTTCAAAATATTTTCATCTGGCATGTACAATTTGAGTTACCAGTATGTTAAACTCGTTAAGTAATTTTAATAATACTCTGAGTTACAAAATGCTGTTAAGCAATGTTTTACAATAGTGTCCAAACACCATAATATTTTATGCTCAACCCTCGGTCAAGGTATATAGTAAATTGAAATCATTTGAAAAACAGTGATAAATTTTAAACTTTCAGATGTGTGCCTGAACATCAGAGAACATTCAGTTTAGGGATTCAGTGGATAATAGCTCGATGTCTGGGTGAGTTTTACTTTTAAAATATGCAATTGGCACAAAATTATTTCAGTCATTCTGACATGCAGATAGTCTGTAAAGTTGGTATATGTATATATACTACCCAAAAAACTATGCAGTAAGACCAGGTAAACTTAATTTATTTTAGAAGAGTGTAAAAAACTTTTATGTTTACAAATATCCAATATGCTCAAATTCAGGAAAATAACTAAAACAGCAAACCAAGAGTAGATTTGTGTTGTGACTGAAACTTGCAATATTTGGACTCACTTAGAGTAAGATAGAGAGAGAGACATGGGGTTTAACGTCCACTCGACACAAACTAGGTTATTTTGGGACTAACACATGGTTCAATTTTAATAATTCGCTTGCGCATAGGGGTCTTTAGCAGTGGGAGGAAACTGGATGACCCGGAGAAAACCCACAAGGTAGGACAGGCGACCCTACTCCTTGTCACGTACAACCGGGGAATTGAAACCATGCCACTTCACTCAGTGACAGAACGTATTATACAGCACACACATGCTAACCATTCGGCCATTCAACCCCCCTGACTTAGTGAAATCTTTCACACTAAAATTCATAATAGCCCTATCCATTGTATTTCATAATATTTATGGATGATAACTTGCTATTTCAGGTTCAATACCCGGACCAATATTATTCGGAACAATAATTGATCTGACCTGTATCCTTTGGCAGAAAAAATGCTCGGATAAAGGTGCCTGCTTGATTTACGACAATAAACAGCTTAGCTACAATTTACTTGCTCTTGGAACTGTTTTGAAAATCCTCTCTGTCATTTTCTTCTTATCTGCATTAATGTTGTATAAAAAGCCCCCTGATAGAGAGACAGCAATCTCTACTGATACCATGACAACCTCCATGACCTCTAGTGTCAATAGCAAAATTGCAAATGGGGACTTAGATACTGAAGAGAAAAAGAAATCAACAGAGCAGGAAAGTTAATGAACAAGAGATTTTTAGATTTTGTTGTTGAATTTGTATATTTTTTACTTTGTTTTGTGTCATAAATAATGTTGTGTTAAAAAAAATTAAACAATTATTTTAAATATTTAAATTTGTTTGTAAAATTTGGAATGCATAATGCATGTAACAACTGATTACATTATCATATTGTCTAAAAAAATATACATATCATAGAGTTCCATATATTTTGTAAATCATAAATTTCATTTTTGGGTTGTATCTGGTAATTCTTGAGGATTCTTGTCTCAGTGTACATGTATGTTGAAGTTTCTCCAGTTATAAAATATTGTGTAGATTAGGCCTATGGTAGGGTGCCCCACCATAAATAATTATCTCCTAATAGCTTGACAATTACACCACAATATTTATATATATACCAATCCTTAAATCTGTTTGGCACATTTATGTCTTCATAAATAAAGATCCATGATGTACTTAATAAGCTATGACCATTTAATTATCAATCAATAATATACTGAAAAATGGTTCCGAGTGTCGTCCATAACATCCAGGCACTTTTGAGCAAAAAAAAATAGGTTACATGCCCTTAACAAGTCTACCGACCATTCTCCGTCTGATTGACTGGCCGGGATAATCAAGACAACTTTTTTACGAAACATGACAGAAAGCTGGAACAAGAAATTGAATTTAGAAACACGCACGGTAGGCAACTTGACAAATGTTTTAAGAACCTTATACAAGTTAAATGAAACTACTGCTAATATCATGTTCCTGTCTAACCCAAGTTTTTCAGAGATATTATTTGTACTAAACCAAAAGATGTCGCTCCTAATGATATAGTTAATGATAAAGCAATTTAAAAATAAAACAAACGTAATTTCTAAAGCTGCTGTAATAACCAAACAGCTAAATATTACTGCTATTCAGAATCGTCAATAGATTTTTTACGGCTGTAATAGTTGATAGATGTGTTGAGAATTTCACGTGCGATGGCTATTTATAGACTCAAAGCGAGTACGTTACTAGCCAGAAATCACTTCGAGACAAGCAACTGAAGTGTGCACATTCACTGTGTTGAGTAGGCCTACCACTTTTAGTAAGGAAAAATTACTCACACCGGGCACCCTACCAATGGCATCATAAATCCACAGTTTGAAATTAGCCGAGTCGGTGCAGATAAGTAGGTTAAAGCAGCTAAGTCTCTAACTCAATATCATCCAAAGTCTTACATGAAGAAAAAACGAATTATTTGTCAGTTCAAATCAACATTGATGTTGTGATCTTACCAGGAAAAGGCAGGCTTCTGATATCCAATATTTAAGACAAAATAAACATTTTACCATTGGTACACGAATCGTGTCCATAGTGCATTTTAGCGTCATTTGCAACAAGTGACCAGAAAGATCGAGGCTAGACATATTCAACAACTCGTGTCAGACGATGACGCCATATCTGGAATAACCAGATGCTAGAAATTGCAATAGGGTTGAGATTCATGCCGTATTTCGCTGGACATAACTGATTTGAAATTAATCAAAATGGAAACAATTGAATTTAAATCTGTTTATATACAATCAGATTACATTATTATATGTGTCAATTTCTAGGTCCCAAATATTAGCGATTTAGCTCCTTTAAACTCATTTCATTTCTTAAATCCAAAATTGTGTCGGGTAGTTTTGAGGTTCGCAAAATAATAATAACAAAATCTGTAACAATTATAATATGACTTTATGTCAACTTTGATAAAACTGCTTTCCGATGAGATAACGGTTGAGGAACAACTATATAGGCTATACGATCCATGTTCTACTGGTGCACTCAGTGTTATAGCCAGTATTTTGTTGACACTCGCTGTGGCATGGGATATTGTGGATAGCACCTTAGATTTGGAAAAGTGATTATAGACCTACTAGTATGTGCAGGAGGACCATACATAAATAAAACCTATAAGACAAAATCTCGTACAAGATGGACAAATTACAGACATCGCAAGCAAATATATTTAGTACATCACTGCGGGATTGACATGTGACTGCCGTCATTTCGATGTATATTTATTGAAAAGAAAATGTTTGTAAAAGTTTTATTTTGATGTATAAAGAGTCATGTCATTTTCTGTGATTCTGAATTTAAGTATAATTGAGTGCTCATTTTATATTTTTTGTAGATATTATAGATCCATGTATAATGTGTGTATATATGTTAGCGGAAATATTTGGAAATATTTCAATGTTGAAACAGGTTAATTTAAAGCTATAGAATTCTACGTAACAAATATTTTGAAATAATATATTAATTTTTATCATTATTAAGATAGTCTTAACATTAAAATTCTCAGAAAAAATACAGTAATTGCTATGCGATATAAATGCCAAATCACTTTTTTGTATAGAAAATTGTTTTGTAAAATTTGTATTTTTAAAAGTGTGTATTTGTTTGTTATTAGTTAATTTTTGTTGAATTTCTGAATGACATTTGTTATTTGTTGGATTCAATGTACATGTATGGACAATCAATGCATGTCTTAAAAATAATTTGTATTAATTATAATCAACTTCATTATGACTTTAAAAAATAAGAAGTTTTGATATAATTTTAATTAAAAATTAAACCAGATTGTAGGCATAATTTCAGATAAATTTCACAATTTTTATGTGTCGCATTGATTTTATAACCGTTTTGAAGTCAAGACTAAGAAACATTTGTGGAAAATGAAATACCTTTTTAACTTAAATATGTATTTAACTACTTTTTTATTAATTTCATTTCATAATTTAATTTGTTATCAATATGTAAAAAAATAATATATATTTAATTCTGTTATTAATGTAATTACAATTGATGTCAATTTTATATTTGTATGTAAATAATGACAATGACAGTACAAATAAACTTGTACATTTAGAGACATAGTAAAAGATGTATATTTTTGTATAAAAGACTTTTTTCATTTACACAAATCTGTTCTTTGTAGATATATCAAAAAAATAATTCATGCAAATTCATCATCTCATAGACTTTATTTTCAAATTTTTCAAATGTTAATTCTACAACGAGTGCAGATCCTGGAGGAATTTTTGAGATGTATTCTTGACAGCGGATAAAAAAGTGAGGTTGAATTGTTTTAAAAGCCCACATTAACATGTGGTCGTATATTGTCCTTGCCCCCATCCATTTGTGGTCCACAATTGCTTGTGAATGCCCTAGAGTCTTAAGTTATTACATAATTGACTTTAAATTTATACACAGTATCTATGGTTAGCAGATGAAGAGGCCTATTGATTTACAGCAGTCTCTGATAATTACTACTAGAGCTATGGCCCTTGCTCACTTTTAAAAATCTTGTGGATGCTCTAAAGGCTAAAGTTATTATCCAATTAATTTATACAGAGTATTTATGTCCATTAACCATTTCCAATAATTACTACCAGAGTTATAGCCCTAGATCACTTTGAAAAATCTTGTAACTGCTCTAGAGGTGAAAATTAATATCCGATTGACTTCAGATTGATAAACATTGGTTAAGGTCATGAAATGAAGAAGCCTTTTGATTTTCAATGATTTCTGATTTTTAATGTCAGAGTTATGGCCCTTGACTTCTTTGAAAAATCTTGTGGACACTCTAGTTATCAAGAGATTAGACAATCTTCGTGTGCAACCTTTCGTTACTCGAGCAGACATCCCCAATCGTCAGGTTGCCGTATGGAAACCCTTACGTATTTTCCTGTATGCGCCCCATGGAAGTTTTTCAGGGAATCCAGTATTTTTCTAGCAAGATTGGATGTTTCTACTTTCCATATATACCAAAATTGCCACACTTTTATTGGAAATGACCACCCGATAAATACTTTTGTGGGAAAGTAACTTCCAAGATACTCATTTTTGAATAACACCATACGTCAATTACCCTTATTTCATAACAAAAATGTTTAGTTTTAAGATTGAGTTCTACGCATCATTCAGTTTAATTTTCTGGAATAATTTATTATGAAGTGCCACGTATGATATTTTACAAATGATATATTACCTCGCCAAAAAGATGTAATAATTTATTTTTAGAAATAAAAAAAAAATAAAGTAGCCTATACAAAAAAAAAGAGAGAGAAAAATATTTGGTGTTTTTTGTATGTCCTTTTTATGCTTTATATGTAGTTAAGATACCACGGCCTAAATGCTTTGGAGTTGAGATATACATGTACATGTAGCTTAAGGGCATGAGTCAGCTCTGTGTTCCAGGGTTTGCTTGGATTTTATATGCATGGGCTCCAGGTGGAAAGCCCATGCTTAATAATAGGCTTGGAATTTGATATACCTTATTGTGCCCCAAAGAAGTCTTGAGATAAGATAGATTGATCTGTGAGCTCCAGAGAAGACTTGATATATCATTGACATACTGATTTGCTATATACTGCACCATACTCATCACTAGTTTAGATTTGAACTACTCTAGCTTATTATGTCTCCTGTAGTGTAGGCTACATGAAGTCCCGAGACACGTTGATGGGACAAAAACTATATTTCCTAACCATCACCTATATGAAACATCAATTAAAGGGGCCTCTAGATTAATTCTAAAGAGATGTTTGTATGGTACCAAGAAATAAATACATGTATGTCATAAATGTCATGTTACGGTAGAGGTTTAAACTCTTAGGGAACACAGTGGAATTGGATTGTTTAACGACTTTATTTGATATGTTATGTGCCAAATAAATCTATTTTTCTATCTACCATGCTAACATACAAATTGGATTTGCGTGTGTAAGACAAACAATACCCAGAATATGCCCCCTTTTCACCGTTGATGCAAGGACCCCAGTGACATTGTTAGCTAGGGGCCCCATACAAGCTTAAACTGGCCCTATGTATTACCATAGGCATATTATTGATTCTAAAAGAATTATAAGCTTAGTTCGACGAACGGTATCATAAGTTAAATATAATAGCACCATCTTCACAAAATTTAGGATGAGTAGTTGTATTATTAAATCCTTGCGGTATTAAATGTGCTTACTTCCCTTTAATCGTTTTTATACGTCCACATTCATAATGTGGACGTATTACGTCGTCACTCCGTCTGTGTGTTTGTGTGGGGATGGGGGGGGGGCGCCTACAGGGCCCAATTCTTTATGGATTGTCTTGAAACTTTGCATAGTTATTCCTTATACCATAAGGATGATCGTTGCCCGACATATACAGGACGCATTTCTTAACGGAACAACTTGAAACTTAAGATACCTTTTTCTTATACCATAACGATCACCCCTATTGTTTTTGGTACATATCCAACCCCCAGGGGCGCAGAGCCACGCCCATTCTCTTTGTGTGTCCGTGTGTTGCCT